CAGCCTGCAAAACACTAAAATAAATATCAAAGAAATAATACAGTTAAACAAGAAAGTAGCCTAAATAAGAAAGTTAAATACACCCTGTCTACAGGACGCGAGCTGCACGGCGCGACAAAATACTATAAAACTCATTATAATCAGTGATTCTACACTGGATGCGACACGACATGACAAATCCCTGACAGTAAACTGCCTCGTCCTATTTATGAGGTACTGATATAGAGTTCAAATGTCCTGTGTAGACACTAGACAGACTCAACCTGTTGCGACGCGGCGGTGTCGCGTCCAGTGTAGACACGGTTCACTGTTCCACTACTGTTATTACTGTTATTACACTTGTATACAAAACTTCATATTATGCTTGTTATAGCGTGCGTGACGTCACGTGCACTACCGCCGGTGGCAGTAGACAACCGCGGTTGTCACAGCGACCGTCACAGCCCTATTATGTACTGAATTTGAATACTGAAAACCGAGCAAGTGTTGCTCACATACGTAATCATCAGGGCGGCTAGCTCATGGCAACGCAGTTGTTGTAACAACCAGGTTGTTAAAACAAGCTAGTGTGGGGACAAAATCATCTGTGCAGTTGCTTCTCAGAGCAATTAACACATTGCCAGGAAAACCTCTCCTCCAACAGGCTACTGTCAAATCCTCCCAGGGGCGGTACATTGAGCTCACACTGAACTATAGGAAATGAGCTCACACCATGAGTTCACTTCCTGCCACAGAGCACATGGTGTGTGCTCTGAGGACAGTGTGAATCTGCCTTGATGGACCTTTAACTCTGTGCTTTAAATATAAGGCCGTAAGCAGGCATGACAGTAACATTCTGCTCTTTGACAGAACTGTTTCTAACATTTATAATAATAAGAAATGTTACTTGGACACCAAATCTGCATGTTAGAATGATTTCTGAAGTGTCATGTGACACTAAAGAGCCTGGATTTATTGCTGATGAAAATGTAGCTTTGCCATCACAGAAATACATTTTAAATTGTAAAAATATTTTATAGCATAAATAAATGCAGACTTGATGAACATAAGAGACTTCTTACAAAAACATTCAAAATCTAACCAACCCCATACTTTTGAATGGTAGTGTACATATTACAAAGTATGTAACATACAATACACTTTTACAATTCTAAATGCATGGCATTTTTGCAAGAATCTCTTACCTACAGTAGGCAGGCTGGGATTTTAGTAAGTGCTTTGTAGAAGGGTTATGTAAGTTGACCCCAGTAGTACATCTCATGAGAGCGCTTGAGAGGTGTGCATGTGACTTCACTGTTCGTTAAGAACTGTTTGCTTTGGCTCACTATGTAGATTGTTGTGTTGGGCAGGGCTGGCATTTCACTAATTTCATGTTACCACATACACAAGCACACATGTGCCATCAGTACCTCACACCCATAAGACACAAATTTGCACACACTTCTACACTTCTGTTCTCAAAATGGAGAAAAAAACATCCATCCATCCATATACACACTTGTGCAAAAATACCTATTGTGGATTTATTGGATGATGGTTGAGTTGCAAAAATAAGTTAGTCCTAGCATAGCTAACAAACTGAAGCTTCACAGTTTATTTATTGAATAAAACTGCTGGTGGCATTTAGGGCTGCCACTAACGACTATTTTTATTTCAATTAATCTATCTACTAATTTGTCGATTAATCTAAACGATTAATTTCCCACAAAAAAAATCAACAATTTTACTTACGAATATTTTATTCAACTATATTTTATTAAACCAAATGAAATCCAGATTTCTATGAAATCCTTTTTTTAAAGCAAAAGTAAAGTGCAACATAGAGTGCAAGAAGCAAGTGTCCATCTCATAGTCCAAATCACTGAAATCAAAGGAACGAGCCGTTTTAGGTAGGCGTGGTTGACTCTTAACTTTTATAAAGAATATCTCTTTGGATTTGAGACTTTAGTCTTTGCAACTTTACAGATCTTGTTTATGCACCAAGAGCTTGTAACACTCCAAAGAGAAAGGAAAAATTGAAATCGCATCATATGACCCCTTTAAGGTTGTACATCATGGTGTTACATTGAAGGTCATTCAGTATTTAATGTGGATCTTAAGCATATAAATACTTTACAATGCAACAACTAATGTTTCATGTGGGACCACTACTCATTTTCAAAGCAATTGTAATGTATCTCTGATATTCCTGCTTTCTGTCTCACCATGATTTAATTTCCATCGTTGTTTTTGCTGCAGCAGCAGGTCAGTTATAGTGGGACATTTGGCTATACCAATCCTGAGATGGAGGTAGAGGATCCAACCGCCATGAGCTCCAAAGAAGGATCAACGTGAGTTTTGCCAGCCAGATTAATAAAACATGATAGCATACTTAAAAATATCACCCAAAAGGTTTCATTTAGCTTTTTGATTACATAGATTTCATTTAGCTTTTTTTTTTTTTAAGCAAGGATGCATTGATAAAAATTGACTTTTACAATGTTACAAAAAAATTGTATTACTGTTTTTACTATGTTTTTAGTCAAATGAATGCAGACTTGGTGAGATAAAAGACTTTTAAAAACCTTTAAAAACTGCTCCGCCCCTAAACATTTTAACAAGTGAGACTAGTGTTCAAATCTGGCCAAACAGCTCATTGTTAAAGCAAGGAAACGATTAAATGTCACTGACTTAACATCATTAAGAAATAATTGTGTAGAAAAACAATCTTCCGTTCACAAAAGACCAAGACTTGGCTTTCTCTCCCCCTAAGCCTGCCTGCATTAATGTCTTCAGTCCAGCCAAATCAACGTTACTCTGCACATTTTCTTCCAATTGTGGCTTGAGGGGATGATTGATTCCTTTAACTGTGACTCAAAAAATACAGATAATCTCATTTATTTTATTGGGCAATTATGGTATCATGTCAACCGTTTGAGAACTCAGCTGGAAAGGAAGGAAGGATATTACTGCTTTTGTGCGACAGTTAAATTGTGAGCTCGAGGATCAGTTGTGTAGATTAAAGAATTTTTTTTAATAGATTTTTATATCTGGAGGGACTAATCCATTAGTTCCTTATATATCTGTATGCATTTTACAATAATCTTTATATTTCTCCGCTTTTTGTTGAATTGCGAAAGCCCTGGAAATCGAGTGTTTGTTTAATATTAAACTTCTCACTTCTCAGTTCTTCTAACTGGACCAGTTGTGCAGAAGCAGTTACTGAGGCCTGTTTTGCTCGTGTCATATTGCTTAATAAGAAACAGTCAGCATTAACAGTGTTTCATAACAGCGATTACAAAACAGGCTTTGACATTATTTCATATGTCATAGGGGCGGAATTGTTTCCCATGGCATTTCACTTTCCAGGTTATTTTGCATTGAAGGCCTCATTGTTAAATTGTCTATTCAGTAACAGATGTTATTTGTTTTCATTAAAAAAAGTAATGAAATTATGAATATACAGCTCTGCACATTTTTTTGTGAGATTATAACAGCCTGTACAATAAAAAATATTGCTAATAAGCTAACATATAAACTAAGAGCTTGTTATTTCTATTCTTATTTCTATTCTATACTTCTTGCTAGCTGGAGTGTGACAGTCATGTTGGGTGATCAGTGATTCCATAGAATTTCGAAAGTTTTGGCTCTTTGCTCTTGGAAATTTTAGCAATCATAAGAAATGATCATAGAAGACAGTGAATATATCTTCTTTTGAATAAATTTTGTGCATGTTATAAGTAAATAAGTGAATGTAAAAATGTCATTTGGTCGTTTGTGTACAAGCTTTGAGTAATGGCGTGCGTCTCTCCACAGGCGTTACGGCAATGGCCGGGTCAGAGGCTCCAATGAGCACATGGGTGAAGAAGAGCTCCTCCCTGCTGTCATAACAGAGAACAAAGCATCTCCTCACCCTCACAAACACACACAGGTGTGCACACACACCACAACCACCAGAAAATCAATTATATATTAAATTCAGGGTCTAATTATACAACCAGTGGCCTGCACACTCTACTGAAGTTGTAATGTCCGTCTGGCTCAATATGTGGTAAAACCATTTCATTTTGTTTCCATAGAAAAAAAAGAGGAAAGTGCACAAACTTGCAGCTGAGGTAAACAGTGACAGGTCCATTGACACCAGCACCACCAAAGGCATGCCAAAGACTTCTGCTGAGCAGGGTAAGACAAGCGTACACAATCAGCTGATGACTGTAATATTTGATTTACACTTACTGCTCAGAAGTCTGAGGTTGGATTTTTTATTTTTTCATGTTTTTGAAAGAAGCCTCTTATGCTCACCAAGGCCGAAAGTTCAAAAGAACAACATTTGTTTGAAATAGTAATGTTTTGTTACAGTGTGAATGTCTTTCTTGTCACTTTTAATCAATTTAATTAATTCTTGCTGAATAAAAGTATTAATGTCATTCAAAAAATAATCTCGCTGACCCCAGACTTTTGAACAATAGTTTACATGTATTCATTTATCAGACAGTTTTCTCCAATGTAATTTTAAATGAGAAATACAACAAAGTGATTCATCCAAGGAGGCTGAAGATCAGAGGAGTACAGGACAGAATAGAGATGAGAATAAGAAATGGTAAAGTTTTATGAAGTGCCTGGACATACATAACTAAAACATTTATATTTTTTACATTTGTTTTTGATGCAATTATTAAGGCATCCGATTTATGTATTAGTGCAAGTGCCTAACTTTTTTTTAAATATTTATTTAAATAATATAATTTTTGTATTTAGAAACACATATAAGTACAGTATTGGCAGCATATCACATAGTGAACATGAAAACTAAGATAGAATGTAGACTAATCCTAACAGTGTGTCACCGGTTTAGGAGATTAGTAAGTTATGGAAGACGTTGCTATGTTATAATATTAAACAGTGTGGTAGATCTGCATCACTGAACAACGCCCTGTTTGCTTTAGACTGAAGTATAGCACTAAGGAGAATAAAACTACAATATGACAGTTAAAACCTGCTAATAGAGCAGTTGTCTTTACCTGATTTATAACTTTTATTTTAGCCTCTGTTGCAATATTCAGTTGGAATTACAGTGTTTGAATAGTTCTGTAGTAGTTCTGTGCTCCTAAACTGCCTGTGTGTAACTACTGAAGCCTATTTCTGCCACATAATAATTTTTTTTTTAGTAAATCATAATTGACATGAAAAGGAAGATTCTAAATGGTCCCTCCCCCAAACTTGTGTGTAAGACAAGACTTGTGTACGGATTAGACTTGTATATGAATTAAACTGGTTCTCGCCATGAATACAGCCCTAGATGCTGGAATGGCGTTAATAAGAAAGTAAATAAATGACATTAAAAGTCATATTTATGAGATAAAAAGTCATAATTATGACTTAAAAACAATAATGACAAAATTGAATTTATGACAGTCATTGAGATTAAAAGTCAAATGAGTAACAATTATCACTATGTAATAATTTAGAATTTCTCATTATTATGATTGTAGAAATTATGAAAAAGTTTTACAATTATGTGAAGGTTCAACTTTTTATATGACAGTTTGTCTTAATGTTAAAAATATTTTTTATAATAATTCTGACATAGAAAGTAGAAATTAGGAGATAAGTGACAGCAGGAATTATGAGAAAGTCATAGAAGTCATAATCTGAAATGTATTTAATAATTTTTATAATGCCAGTTTATGTCATAAATTGACTTTTTATAATTATATAATTGATTTATGTCATAATTATTTATTATTTTCATCTCATAATTATAATTTACCAAAGCTTGTTTTTTTCCTTAGGTTGCAGAAATGAGATTCCATAAATAAGCTGTTTTTTATTCACACAAGTTCAGCTGTTTGAGTTTAGAATGTAGTCTCCCAAGTATAATCTTGTAAAAATGTAAAATTGAATAGATTCTGAAATAATTGTAGCAAATACTTAAAAAAAAAAAATCCATATGGTGTTTTTCAGTGGTCTTGATATTGGTGAATCAGAGTGTGAGTTAGTTACCTTTGTGATTTGTGTTTGTGCTTTACACAAATAGATTCCTCTGTAGCTGCCGCCACTGTGTCCTCCTCTCTTGGTCAGCGCTTACCCTTCCCAGCATTCCCCCTGCGGGCCTCCCTCCCCCCTCTTGCACCCGTACAAGCCGCTGGTCCCCCTGCTGAGTATCATTCTGACTCCGCAGAATCTCTGGAGGAGATCCCTGTAGCAATGGCACGGCTTGGCAGCGCAGCCCTGGCCGGCGCTACTACTGCTGCTGTGTCTGCCACCAGCTATTCCTCTTCTCTCCAGTGTGCTTTGCCTTCCTCAGCAGCTGGACAAGCTTTACCCTCCCCCCAGCCCAGGACCAAGAGGAAAGCAGCCGTTCGGAAAGCTGCAGAGCAGAGGTTTGAGATGGTGTCCCATAATCCATCTATGTTCGTGAGTCGAGAAAGCAGAGAGCCGGCCATGCCTCAAGAGGGCATTATTACAGAGGAAAATCCCCATGTGGCGAAACGCAAACAGACAGGTAAAAAGAGAAATATGGAGGACACTAAACTCAGCTCGAGTGTAGGAACCCCGCTGGTGTAGTGACTACTACAGAGACACGTCACTACTAATCAGGACTCACTGGGCACTTGGTCGGCCTTGTTTCTCCATTAAAAAAACTTGAGCTGCTTTAAAAGGATCACATAAAAACTGATGTAGCACTCGGAACCTGATGCAACCTATGCAAACACCATTGAATGTCAGCAGTAAGAACCTTTTGCTGGACAAAACATCTAATGCTGGTTGTCATTGGTCAGTGTCATTTGGCCTGAACACCTCATACTGCATAAAGTTGCATATAGATATGTTTGACAGTGGGTCATGAGGTCCGACCTCAGATCAGATTCACTTATATATATTTATTCATGAAATTGTTGATTGTGGAATGAAGTCTTGGACTTGAGCCTCAACTTATTATGAATCTTTTGAGGAATCCATGACACTATACATTATGAACCAACTTATTTAGCCTTTCATTAACTCGGTACATTTCACTACAACCTTTGCTGTAGCATTGCACAAATTGTTTTTTTTTTTAATACTTAATGCAGTGCTGCCCGTCTTATATATATATATATATGCCAAAGTTTGTTTAGTTTTCTATGATGAACCACGCATGACCACTGATATCATTTTCAGGGTTTTTAGTTCATATTTTTAAATTAATGTACATTGTTACCTTATTTTTTAATTATTGTTGTTAATTGTTGCTTTTCCTTTTTGTTGTTTTTATCAGCTTTTATATGTCTGGTTGTGTTTGGGTGAACTTGAGTTACAGTATGTACTATAGAGTGTACTTCTGGTGGTATTTTACTCAAGTGCTTTAGTCACTTTCTAAATAAACATCTTATATTAAGCAGTGCCACATGATGTCTGCCCTTATGAATGAAGTCCACTCCCTCCATCTCAAATGCTGCTCAGACAACCCAGTTACACAGTTGTTTATCTATCAACAGAAACATTCTTAGTACATGATGTTTTGGGTAGAGGGAGTGGCTGAATGATGGCCTGATGGGGAAGCAATATGAAAATGTGTCTGTGTATTTTTTTTAATGATGTAAAAAAATAAAATGAATTTTACTTTAACTGTATTCCTACACTGTTTTTTGCAATGTTAAAAATCAATGTTTTAACTAATATGTTATCTGTGTTATCATCTCTTTTCTGTTTGTTTGTTGTTAAATTCTCTCAAAACCATCCTTTAATAAATAATATCCTGCAGAAGACTCCTGCAATATTAGTGGTGGGCAAAAGTCACTCATTCTTTAATGAAGACAATAAACCGGAAATGCCTCTCAGACATTTCAAAATTTCATTAATTTTAACTTTGTGTAAAAATATACTTTCGTCAAAAGGAAATGGAGCAAAGGCAAGTGCACATTCTATAATGCATTCCATTTAATGCATTCCATTTAATGCACATTTACTAGATCATCTGAATATTCCAAGCATGTGGAAAATGTGCAAATATATACTGCAGAGACTGCAGTTTTCATTGTCATTCCTGTACCTTTTATCTTTTTAATCTCAATTACTACTTCTCATTAAAAAACAGCATGTGTAGCACTGCATACTTGTTGCCCTGTTTTTATGTGTCCTGAATCAATAATAGACATTTTTTTCCAAAGGACATTTCCTTTTAAGGATATACAGCCTGTACTGGTGTAAACGTCAATTCATTCAGAATCCAAAGCAAAAATAGTCATGGGTGTCTATAGCAACACTTGAGTAATACAAATACATGACGACTTTGATGAGAAATTATCCAAATATCGGACATTAACATCTAGCACAAACTACACATGCTTTAAGAAGCTTGTAAGAATTTTTTAACCATGTAATTGTACAACTGTAGTGACAAAGAACATTCAGTACCTTAACAGGACCTGCACACAATCGTGTCACCCAAACACCTGCTGTAGATCCTAGTATATTTTAATACTACATATTCATGGTGGGCTTATCAGCTGAAAACACTGATAGGTCAGAAAGTTGACAGAAAGCCTGTTGTCAAGGCCATAGCGTAGACAAAAACAATATCAGGTAATGGTCACATGTGGAGTTGGGGAAAAGTCTTTTTAGACTCCAAAAATTGAGATGAAAACTTGCTCAATATGAACTCCCGATGTTTCTAGAGTCATGATATCCACTAAATAAGAGTGTGGTTAACCACTGAAGTTTATTTACCAACAGCTGAAGTATGATATCATTGGCAGTTACGCTTGTGATTTTCTTGCCTTGAGAATGGGGCTATTGTTTTGGTTTTGAAAATAGCACCGACAAGATGGATCCTGTTCCCTGACCAGCTGGATAAAATCATTCAGACTCTCCTTCTTCTCCTGCTTTCAAAGCTCAGGATCATGTTCTGCTCCTACATCCATTTAATGTCAAACTACTATAAAAAAGTGCTGCCTATTCTGCTTTTAAAATCTTTCATAGGTATATTAACATCTTTTCATAGGTATATTATATTTTTATAAGCCTTCAAAATATAATGTTTAAAAGAGCAGTTGCAAGTTTTTTTGTTCCAGACACGGTGGCTGTTTGTGTGTACCCAGAGTAACCATGGCATCAGGATACTACAACAGCGTAACACTGACAGTCAAGAGTTGCTCTGCTGAAGAGAGGCATGCAGCAGAACTTGTGACAGGACTCACAGTGACAGCAGCAGCATTACTGACAGAAAGCTTTTGGCTGGAGCCAGCGGCACACTGCACGCAATTATTCACCAGAGATGAAGAGCTCAGTTTTCATAATTCACCTTGGCTGATTTATATGTTCAAACTATTGTCAGTGGAACAGATTTATAGACTGTTCTGATCATCATAGTCAAACAAAGGCCTTATTATGACTTCTCATGAATTATACTGTGTGCACTGAAGAGAATTTTGCATTGTCAGTATGTAATAGTGAGATCAAAAGTTTATATCCAAAGCTGTTCTTTCATCCTACAACTACTATAATAGGCCTATCAAACTTTACCCTCGCACTAGCATAGTAATACATATAAAATCCAAAATGTAAATAATAATATTGTACAACTTTCCATATAAAGTTGGATATTTAAATTGATCCTACTTGTTTGCGTATATACAGTATACTCACATACAGTGATATATAGCAAAATCTCGGCTGTGTGATTGTAAATGATTGCAAAATGTCAATTATATTATCGTACAACTCTCTCTATATAGAGTTCGGTATTTACATTTATCCTACTTTATTTGTATACAGTATACTCATATATAGCAAAACATACAGTATACATACAGTATTCCCATAAAGTGATACTACATAGCAAATCTTAACTGCTTGATTGTTTATATCATTGCAGAATGTAAACTATATAATATCGCCCTGCTCTAATTTGCTTGATGTGACTATAAGACTTGAAGAAATTATAAACATTAACATGATTCTCTATAAAGCTGCTTTGAAACAATGTGTATTGTGAAAAGTGCTATACAAACAAAATAGCCAGCTATACTGCTTTAATCATCATTTTAGCCCTGATTGATTTTAGCACAACAATGAATGGATATTGCAGACAAAAGCCATAAATCAGAGGCAAATCAGTGTTTGCAGTGTCCATCTCTCTGTTTGAATTATCAAAGGCATAATTTGAGAGAAGAGCTGATGCAATGCCGGTGCCTGACAAATATTTATCAGGCTCAATATCTAGACCTCTCTGCAATCCAAGTCTTGTAGTGTGAAATGTGACAATCTGACAACTCTGAAAGTTGTGTGTATAGTGGGCAGTAAAATCGTAGATGTCTACCACATAACTTTCATCCCGTACCTTTGCTCTAAATAGGTTTACTTCAATTCAGTCCAGATAAATAAGCAGTAGCCTCCACATGCAGCTGAGGCAGGGTTGACAGGGAAAGATTGGTTAAACAGAACTGTGTGTCCTTTCACTTATCAGTGTCTCTCAATCTGTTTCATTCATTTCCAACAGTGACCTCATCATCTATGGCCCTTAACCAGAAAAAAAGGAAAGAAAATAAGCTATGCTAGCAGCAATCGTCTCTATGACAACAGTTAAAACAAAAGCTGAAATATGAAGTGAGTGTTTGATGCCTTTAGTTTGACCCTCCAGTGGCTCCCACACATCTCTCTGATTTTCCCACCACTTGTGTTCATTAATTCACAGCATTGTTGTGGACACCATTGGTTGGACAGATGGATGCAGTAGGCTACTTTGTTTTCCAATGGTCACACATACAGGCAGACTTCGAAAACACATTACACACTTCATATTATGGCACACGCAGAAACAACTACTTTAATGAATGCTGGTTGGTGGAATAAACACAAAGACTCACATGCAGAAACCAACAGCCCTAGACCTTTTGTTCTGAGGTGCACATCTGTTTCCTGTTGGTCATGGATTTCTCTGCTTTCACAGCGCTAAATGAGCTGAAAATGAAGAGACATTCGTTTACACAGAAAAGCAGCTAAGTAAATGAAGCAAATGAGAAAAGGAAGAGAAGGAAGATGATATTTTTGGATTGCGGCAGCCCAACAACAAACCACTTCCTCACATGCACACCGAATCATGCAATGAAAGATAAAATATTCCAAATTGATGATGCATAATGCATTAAAACCACTTCTGACTGTTCAAATTTCATGTTTTTAATTTCTGTTTATAAAACTGATATATTGCATGTTTAAATAAGGGTGATCAAGAGGTGCTGAGAATGAGAGAGTAAAACAGGATATTAGCTGAAACTCTGTGGTAAACGCATGCCATGTCCCGACTGATGCGTTGAAATGCTGTAGTGCAAGTGTTCAGTTTGTCTGACATGTTGTGCACTGTAAATGTCACACTATGGCAGATACTGGACCGTTCACTTTCTGCACGCCATTTTGCTGTGTGAAGTTTGATATCACAACAAAGTGTTTCCAGGACAACTTGCATACACCCACTAAATGTGTCAATCATCAAAAAGGTCAAAGAGATATGCCGTGTGTGACTTAGCCGCTGAATGTGTAACAGACATCACTCAACACTTTATTGAAACAGTAAAGTTCACTTAATAGGGCTATGAGTGCATGTCACACATCTGTAGGTTCGAAATCATTATTTTTACAGAAAGAAATAATCCAATACAGTATGTTTCCATATTAAATGATAATGTCTATAACAGAGTGTGCTCCTGAGGGTTTTTTTTTTCTTTTACATTTCAGGATGTGAATGATTTTCAGGGTAGCGTAGGATGGATGGGTGTTTATTGGCTAGGCATTTAAAGCCTTTAGTTGTGCATGAGCTCTTGTTCTCAAAGCTAAAATAATAAAAAATAATGTATGCCATTTTTAATGTCATAAATGTGACATGAATGCAGTGGCTATTCACTTTCAAAGGGGGGCGCCGCTAAAAAAAAACATCTGAATCATTGGTTCTCAGCTTTGCTGACCTGAAGGCCCTTCATTTTCCAACACAATATTCACAGGCCCCTCATATTGGAAAATATATTTACTCTGGTATTTCTGATGTAATTATGATAAAGCTGCTTGCTTTCAAACAGCTTCAATAAAACAGTAATTAGGGCAAAATTTGTGCTTTGTTGCATTTTAATTTTAAGTCATCTTGTGGTCCCCTTGGAAGTTTGCTAAGGGCCCACTCTAGGGGCAAAGTGAGAACAACTGTTTTAAATAACTACATACTGAATATCCTAAATAAGAGTTTTGTTTCTGAATAATGACTGATGGCTTTCCTTCATGCAGGAGCCTTTAGAAATAAAATGAAGACTCTTGATATTTCAATATTTGAATGCTGACAAAGGTTATATGGATATAAAATTATATGGATATTAAAATAAAGGTAAATTAAAGGTATATCAAACACAATATATTAAAGGTCATATGAACACAATGTATTGTTCCCTTTCTCTTAAACACACCACACACCCAATGTATTGCCGTGGTATGTAGTTTTCATTTCTCATAGCAAGTCTCAGAGCTGTTTCTGGTGGAGACATCTGTAATGTAATCTGGTTAAGTGAGTGATGAAAGATCATTTAACTAGATCACTATTTGGAATGGCAACACTCCAAAGTTTCTTTAGAGAGCTTCTTAAAGTACACGTTAACATAAACACTCAAAATATTTGCATACCCACAATGTA